AAGGTTCGTGTTTGGGCTGTTATTTTAGTAGTTTAAAATCTTTGAGTCTGTCCCCGTATGTTGTACTTAGTCTTTGCCTTTATACTAATTATCCCGTTGCGAAAGGATTGTCATGTAAAGGTATGTAGTTGGTATGCCATCGCTGTCATCTCTGGTTTCTGTCCGGGCCCACTACTGGCAAGGACAGATGCTTTTGTAGCATCGACACAATCTGGGTTATAAATGTTCGCTGGTTCTTGAAATAGATAGTTACTTCTTATGTATTCTATCGTTAGGGTCATGTTTCATTTCATACGTCTGCCCAGTCATCATCAACATTCAATTCCTCCCAGATTCTGGCTGAATCGTTTAGCTTGGAGGGAACTACAGATACGTCCTATTCTGGTCGAATGTTCTGGCTCATCTGGCAGAAGTTAGCTTTGACTTTAGTGACAAATCATCATCGCTCTCGTAGCGTCCTGGAGTTCGACAGTCCGCTTACGAACCACCTGCATTCGACGGGGTGAATCCGGGCGCAGGCCAATCCGACCTGCGCGTACAGTTCCAGACTAAGGGGGGGGGGGGGGGGGGAGGTGACGGCTCAGAGACGCACACACGGGGAGGGGAGACGTCTGTCACTGAGGGCGGGGGCCGCGGAGGAGGAGGCCTCGAGGGGGTTTAGGAGCCGTTGATGACTCTTTTTTTTTTTTTGTGAGGTTCCATTTTAATTTGGGGGGCCGGAGCGACGTGTTTTCTTCAGTGAATCCACATTCACATGTAGAGGTTAAAGTCATTACATGTTCATACGTTCTATTAACTGACCGAGAGGAATGTGTATCCTTCACACGGCCTCTAATCCTCTGAATTGAACAATAGACAAACAGACAAACTGACTCAAATATATTACCTTTATCTAGGTAAAATAATAGTTGTATTAGTAGCACATATGTTTATCTGATGGTGGCACAGGAGGAAGAATTAAATTTGACTGACCATCAGTGTTTGTATAAAATTAATATAAATCATTGCATTTAGTTGATGAGATATTTCAATAAGGAAAAACTGTCACAGGATGACTAACGTGAAAACATCTCATCCTCTCTGCACCACGGAGGTTCTATCCTGACTTCCATATTGAAACAATTCATTGTTGATCACAGCAGTGGACCGACGCTGCCGAGCACTGAGAGACGTTTGCCTTTTGGCAAATAACTACATTGTGGAAATCCAAGGAAACCACAGTAGATATTTTATTTCAAGGCACATATTTTGGTGGTGTGTTTGGTGGAGAAGAAGGAATTTTATTTGGTGACTTCTGCAAACTGTTAACCAGACGGTTTCATTCAGTGAATCAGACCTCTTTTTACGTGTTTTATCATTATGTGTAACTTTGCTGTGACGAAGACGATGAAAGGAAGGTTTGTGGTCGGAGGAGGAGGAGGAGGAGGAGTTTGAGCTGGATTAAGGGCCGTTTGTTGGTTCCACCGGTGTTTTGGTGTATGTTGAGATCATGATGATTTAACACAATTTCTTTTTGTCGTTGGGAACTTCCTCTCTTTATGGGGCCTCAGGTCTGTGGGGGGCCGGGGGGCTCAAAAATCATCGAATCCGACACATTCAGACACCTCCCAGGTGTTCCACGCTCCTGGGGGCCTTAGTGGACTCCTCACACTTTAAGCACCGTGCAGCCTCATATTGCAAGTACTGCGGGGGTTAGGGTTAGGTGTAGGGTTCGGGGGCCCTGGGGGCCCTAGTTTTCAGCTTATGCTTTAAGTGCTGAGGAGCCTTGGGATTGTCACAGGGCCCCGCTGGTTGGATCACGCTTCAAGCCCCCGGGGGCCAAAGGGCCTTAGTGCTCGGCTTATGGTTTAAACACCAAGAGGTCTGGGGGCCGTCACACTGTAATCACCACGGGGTCTGGAGGCCCTAATGGTTTGCTAGTGGTCAGCTTGTGCAGAGTGACCTGGCATTCAACTTGTCTCAGAAGATTTAGGTCCTGCAGTGTGTGTGTGTGAGGCGGGGGGGGGCTGCTGACGTAGCTGTCCCCCCTGGGTCTTTATAATGTCAGTCCGGTCACGAGAAAACAACACGAGCAACCGCAGAGGAAAGCATCGCGTGCAGGACTCCCAGAGGACCTGGACTCTCATGTTCGGGGGGCGTTGTGTGGCTCTTCTGGTGGGGAGGGGGGTAAGGGGGGGGGACACAATTCCCTGGCCTGGTGTCAGGAGGGCACTTCCATCTGCACCGTGATGACATATAACATGCAGCACATTCCCTCAGACCCGGGGCCGGGGTGGGGGGGGGGAACTGGAACCGTTCTTGCTTTCCACCGCGGCTGCTGTTCATCTGATGACTGAATATGAGTTCTTGTGGCAATATTTGCTTTGTTACTTGAAGCCATGGCGAGACAAGGGGAGGGGGGGGGGGGAATGGAATATGCCGCGTCAGCCTCAACATACCGGGAATATTGCCCCCCCCCCAATGCTGCTCTGTGAAAAGACAACTTTTAACACTTTGTTTTGCAAGTCAGGGATTTGGGTTATTTGTCTATGATTAATAAACTGTGCCGTTTAACTGTAGGATTTAGATCTTTATCTAAAGGTAAAACCGTTAACATCCTTCATTTATATTTAAAAACTCCAGCGTCAGAGTGGAGTTATTCTGGGTTATTTCATGTGGAGAAAAGGTGTTAAAATACACCTGCGTTGTTAACCGTTAATGAGGATTTTCCTCTGCTGCTTTGACCTGAGACTCAGTGAAAAAGTGAATTATTGTCTGCAGCTTCTTTTTATATTTGTTCTTTAGATAAGCAAAATGCAGCTTTAATTTTACTTTATTGCTTTTTTACATTACATTCCACTTACGATAAGTGCATTTCAACCATAAGGATATTATTGCAAACCTTAAATTGGTTGAAAAAATGTTTGAGATCAGTTGTTTTATCCCTACATTTGTCCCTGGGATAAGAGGAGGTCAAGAAAGGGGTCAGCGGTTTGACCTGACCCCGTTCATTTTAAACAATGACCCAAATGGAATCCAGCCTGCATCTGTGTGCAAGATGTGCCGATAACAGTTATTAAAAGTAAGTAAAGTATCACCGTTAGAAGCGCAGAAAACTGAAAGCTGTAACTGTTCTAATGATATGCATTAGATGATGTAAATCAGATGCTGTGAACTTGAACTATTTTGGGTGACACTAATGATTATTTTTCCTTAATCGATTGTTTGACCTCAGAGGCCAAAGGGACAGCTTCCCCAAAACCCCACAATGATGACACAACAATCGAAAGGAAAAGGCAGTGACTTGTAAAGCTGTAACAATAACATGTTTTTGCAGTTTTTACATAAAACTTAAACTTACACATAAGTTTCAGTAAATGTTGGGTTGTTTCCATTCTATCAAAGCATCATAAAATCTGAGCACGAAAGGAAGAAGATTGAATTTAGTGCAACTATTTGATCTGCTGCATGCGGCTGGTGGGTGATGATGTCACTGTTCCCCTCGTCCCGTGACGTCACGCCACCAGGCATCCCCTTGGAGCGGCGGCGGGCGGAGAGGCAGAAGAGGATGAGGAGGAGATGAGCTGAAGACACGCTGGGACCTCTGCTTCTCTGTGAGTGACTTTTAAACCACTTTTAACACAAAGAAGGAGGTTTAGTTCACTTGTTTTGGTTTTCTCTTCACTTTAAATGCTCGTGGGCGCCATAAAACAGTTGTGAGGAAAAACGCTTTAAATGTAAACAGTTCCCTTCATCGCAGCTTTTACTGAACATGACGCTGGACACTTTAAAGGCGAGAGACGTGAACTGCATTCAGGCTGCTGGTTTATTATGACTGGGATGCGAGGAAGGTTGCTGCTGCTTTTCTGATGCATGTTTCAGAGGTGATCGAGGCTTTCGGACATTGCGGCTGAATCGTTTTCGTTTAACAGAAAGCAATGTGTGTAACAATGACCGTCACAACTAAAAACAACACAACAAGTTAATGCTTTTTCAGATAAAACCTTTTTTTTTCATTGAGTAACATGATCTTAACATTGTCTTGTCTCTATTACGTAAGTTATTACATTTGTATATGTACTGTATGTCTCATTTTGAGCTTCAATTGAATAGTTGCATCCAAAACACCAGCGTCCGACGTCCCCGCGCGTCTCATCCTGCTCCTTGTGACTCCGCTCCAGAGGACTGCGCCATGCTCGCTCTCCTGCGCCCCCTGCTGGCCGCCTGCCTGTGCCTGCTGGCCCCCGGCGCGCGGGGCCGCAGCCCCGCCCGCGGCGACGGCTTCCACTACCAGGACATCAGCGACGGAAACGGAAAAGGAGAGAGTGGGTCCTTCTTTTGAACGTAGTACTTTTACTTCTAACACAATGTTTTCAGAAATGGTTTACGCCAGTGTTTGCACGTTCAAGAAATGTATGAGACATGCATGAAAATATATAAGAGAATATGCAATATACAAATACATTTGTACTGTAGTATTACTACTTTTAACTAAATAAGCTACTATTGTCAGGAAACGTACAGGGTGGAATAAGGACTACAGCTGTGAAACAATGATGATTTTTAACTCATGCTCAAACCGAAAAAAAAGGTTTTTAACCTTTAACGAATAGTGACGAAGTCAGTGCAAAGCTGGAAGATTTTTTACTCAAAGACCGACATCACAGGCTTCACCAGGGCTGCTTTGATAAGAACATTCAATATTTTTAAAAGCATTTTACTTTCCATTAAAAAGGCGTAATCAGCAGTGGAATTCATTCAAGCAACTAACCTCCATTTGTTGTCGCTTGTTATTGTTTCTTTTTGTTAAAAAACAGTGACTTTACATTTTTTTGGCAATTCTCTTAAATGTTTGTCAACAGAAAAACAAATGTTTTCTTAAAGTTTTAGAATTAGTATTAGTATTAGACTTTTTTTTCAAAGCAGACAAGAAGACGTTTTACTCATATCAATCATACTATACGTTTTTAATTTAGCATATATCAAATTCATCCATGTATGTATTAGTTTCAGGGCCCTGACTTACTGACCCCTAAAAGCAACAAAGGTGGTTGGCTGCTTCCAGCCTTTAATGCTATTAGAATTTATAAAAGGCCCAGATAAGTAGAAAAATAACGTTAGCTAAATTAATCCCATCAATACGAAACCCAGAGAACAAAGTCATGATTCAGCTGTATTTGTATTTGTGGCGTCTCTTGTCTTCGTGCAGTCTATTTCAACGGGGTTCGCCTCCACGTGGAAACGCCGCGGCTTTCGGTGTCGGCCACCAGGGGCAGCAGCGTCACCCTCCCCTGCCACTTCCGCTACGAGCCCGAGCTGAGCGCGCCGCGCAGGACCAGGGTCAAGTGGTCCTGGCTGCCCGCCAACGCCGTTGCCGCCCCCGTTGCCCCCGAGGCCTTCGCCCGGGAAACCGAGGTCATGGTCGCCGTGGGCGACCGCCACCGCAGCTACGGCAGCTTCCGGGGCCGCGTGCGCCTGCGACGCTCTTCACCGGGGGACATGTCCCTCGTGATCACCGAGCTGCGGCTCAACGACACGGGGAGGTACCGGTGCGAGGTGATCGATGGGCTGGAGGACGAGAGCGTGACGGTGGAGCTGGAGCTGAGGGGTGAGCACGAAGCGCGTGTGTGTGTGTGTGTGTGTGTGTGTGTTTACAATGTCAAAATGCAACGCCGACCTTAAAAGGCCTCCACATTTCAGTTCTGCCTCAGTAATGCTCATCTCAACCACCACCTGTACATTTCTTTGTGTGACATAACAATCAAACCCCCACAATGCACTTCTCCCTCTACGTAGGTGTGGTGTTCCCCTATTACTCCCCAAGAGGACGCTACCGATTCAACTTCTTCGAGGCCCAACAAGCGTGCCAGGACCAGGAGGCCACGCTGGCCACGTTCGAGCAGCTCTTCTCCGCCTGGGAGGACGGTTTGGATTGGTGCAACGCCGGCTGGTTGGCCGACGGTACGGTGCAGTATCCCATCACGGCGCCGCGCGCCAGCTGCGGGGGCTTGGACTTGGCGCCCGGTCTCCGCAGCTACGGGCAACGGCATCGCCATTTCTACCGTTATGACGCTTTCTGCTTCTCCGCCTCGCTCAAGGGTCAGTAAGAGTGTGTGTGTTTGTGTGTGATGAGCAATAAATATAGTGCACGCTCCTCACGCCTCTCTCCTGCACCAGGCACCGTGTACTACTTAAAGCAACAGACCAAGCTCAACTTCACAGATGCCTCCAAGGCCTGTGTCGGCGACGGAGGTCGAATCGCCACGGTGGGGCATCTGTACGCCGCCTGGAGGCTCGCAGGATTGGACCGCTGCGACGCCGGCTGGCTGGCCGATGGGAGCGTCCGTTATCCCATCACGAAGGCCCGGGCTAACTGCGGCCCGCCGGAACCAGGGGTGCGTAGTTTTGGGTTTCCCCCACCCAACATGAACTTCGGAGTCTACTGTTATCGTTAGGGTCTTCGGCTCGACGGCGGACACGAACACTCAGTTTGAAACGGCTCACTGGTTCACGGCTCTGCTTCAGAGCTGTAGCCTCCGAGCAAATTTCTTCATTCGGAAGCTATTTTGGGGCCATTTGGCTCTCCGCAGGCCTGTCAGGGTCCTGACGATTTGTAGACGGATTTGTTGTAAAGGAAAACGGTGGGAAGGTAAAGGCCGTACAGTGTATAATGTCTCAAGCACATCGTCATCCTGCAGATGACGGAGGACATTTTCCCATAGTTGGTGTGTTGGTTAGTTTCCCTGCATGTTTTTTTCTCACACTTCAAATCAGGCTGATTGTGCTTGAATTCTCACATAATTCATGTAGAAGCTTACTCATTATGAGTCATCTACTCTATTTATTCCACGTTTACTTTCTCTCCCTCCTTAGAAGATTATAACAAACATTAGAAAAACCAATCTTCATATTGCAACTTCAAACGTTTGAGTTAAGTGCCTTGCTAAGGGGCACTTGGTGTTTAAGAGTGTTTCTCATTTTGTTCTTGTCAGATTCTTCAGACGATCGTCACTAACCGTATCCAACTGTTTCTGTCCTTTTAACACTGTGAAATGTCTTGGTCTTTGCTTTTCTCCTTGAATGTTTGTGTATCCTGTTTTTATAAAGTATAACGCATCTCTTTTTTAAGAGTAGAGCTCTGTGATGGAAAAAGCAGAAGTAAAATAGAGTAAATGTATTGTTGTAATATTTAAACTACCTGGTTTATTGTGGAGGAAGAAAAACATGTATCTGATTTTTATTATTTTCTACAATTTAATAAAAATACACTGTAAAGAACTTTGAGACACTTTCATTTATTTAGAAGAAATCTGATGTTGTATGAAATCTAAAAGTTACTTTAAATCATGAATTTAAGTTGAGAATCTCTAGTCTTTCATTTATAATCATCTATTAGAAATCTTTGCAGGTGGTTTGATGGATTTCGGCAGATCGGAAACCTCTGGATCCAAAAAGGTAAAACAACTTATAAGTGTGTAATGTTACAGCAGGAGGGAAAACCGTTACTCTCTTTATTTCAATATCGTTTTAAGTATCGTCTCCATCACATTTGAGAAATCTTCTTCACTGTAGCACAATGTTCATTTAGTTGCCAAAATAGACCATAAAGAAGAGTATCATTAAGGCGGGGCTTTCTTGTGATTGACAGGTTCGTACTACGGCTTTGTGTCTCCCCAGTTGGGGTTAGAACTGATCATTAGCTCTCACATGAATTATATGCTGAATTGCTGGATTTGTAGCGATGATTTTCATAAACCTCCTCTGGTTGCAGCTGCTCAAGGTGCCACACAGTTTTGCTCGCGGTCCTGACAGGAACACCGGGGTAGAAAGGTGAGATGGGACATCGACAAAACGGCCCCTGTGTGGATGCACTTTTAGACGTGTGGGGTCCAACGTCCGGGTGTGAACACATGACCCAGTGACCGGCTTTTATAAACACCTCCTATTTACACCTGCTGGTCAAACACATAAACACGCACAGGGATTACGTGCCTGCACGCACATGAATGCACGCACAACATAGATGCATGCATGTACTTGTGTGCGTGCAGAGCGACGCCCACCCATAGCAGATCTGTTTGCGCTGACCCCAGGTGATGAAGGTGGAGGCTGTGGGGGCCAATGAAGGAGCTCTTTATTGTGTGTTTTTTCTCGGTCGGATTCCACAGGAAGGTAAAAACAAACTAAATGACGGGTTTTTTTCTCGGGCTCAGAGTTCAGCTCAAATTCAAACAGCTGCAGAGGAAAGACGATGTTCCCTGAAAATGACAGAAAATCTCAGTATGTGATTCCTCAGCGTGGAATTACAAACCAGAACACTTTCACTACGCAGAGACAGATGATTCCAGGTTTTATTTGGTACAGCACGCTGCGAGGTCACATGAGGATTGGGGGTCTGAACAAAGTTGTCCTGTAATAGTAAAATAATTGCAGTACACATCAGGAGCATCCACGTAGATTTAGTTCATTTCTTGTACGTGCACAAAATGTATAAACCTCTAGGTGTTTCACTATGTGGCGTCATCATCCTCACTCCTCACTTTCATATTCTGCAGCGTGACTATGAGAGTACCAGTTGGACTGTGTGTGTGTCTGTGTGTGTGTGGTAGCTGTTTTGGTGTTAGTAAGTTGTTCTGTGAGAACAGGCACAAGTATTTTCTCTCAGTGTTAAAAAGCAAATCTTGACCTTTTAAAAGGTCATGGTCGACATTTCGTAACTTCCACATCCACTACCTTCTCGTCATGCTTATAATAATTTCTACTGCTTCTATTCTCTAAAAGTGTGCAATGTCTCAAGTCACAACAACGTGATTCTCGCCGACAGGATTCGTCGATTGCTCTTTAAAAGTCACAAACTCCAACCTGCAGAACTGGGCGCGCTTCTTTTTGTGACCAGGTCCCGGCCTCAGCGTCACACCGTACATCTCACTTCTCAGCACGGTTTCTTTGCCATGTGTCAGCTGCAGGTGAGGTCTGGTAATTCTTTAATGTTTTAAAGTGCTCCGGATTCAAATGATTAGCACAGAATTGACTGAAGACTCCCAAAAGTGCGCGAGTGCTGATTATTTCAATCCAGGTCTGTTGCAGCGATTTTATTCACATCTTGAACTTGGATTTCTATTTTCGTCATTGATTGGAACAGCACAATCTTTTTTCGGTTTGTGAGATGCAGCTGGTTGTGGGCTGATTATTTGGGGTTCTGAATGATGCAGATAACTTTCCCTAACGTATTGGCAGGTATTTTCCCCTCTTCTAACCTGACCGTGTTGCAGGTTAAGAGGGGCTCATCGCTGCCTTTTAAAGGGTCACTGCGTTTGAGAATCACTGTCTTTGTCTACAACTTAAGCTTAACAGTTTTCGTCTCGCCAGGCTGACACACAATTAAAGTCTTTAGAGACCGAATAAAAGTTATGAAGACTACTGAAACAGAAATCTATAAAAATACCCTAAAAATATATCAAAAGTTTGTGTGACAATGTGTTTGACTTCAGAGAATCCAGCTGCAATCGAAAACACTTATTTGGGCTGATTTGGACGGTGTGTGTGTGTGTCCCTCTAAAGCCTCTGACTATTTCATCTACTTTGTATGCAGTGCTGGCAACCAGAAACATGTGCAATGAGATAATGCTTCCCAATACTAGATCACAGCTATAAATTAGACAGTACAAATACACAGAAAAAACTACCTTCAGAAGGTGCGGGGTGACGCTCAAAGATCCAAATCATCAGTCAAGTACACTATCACTGTATAAATGTGTTTTAGTTTGTGTATGTGTGTGTGTGTGTGTGTGTGTGTGTGTAAATACATGGTGGGGACTATTATCTTTTTGGTCCGGCATTTGCATTGGTGTCCATGCTTCTTTCCAAGAGGGGGACCTTTGTGGCTCTCTGTTCTATGTCCTTTTCATTGCTGCTCAGTGCAGCTTCCTCTGTCGCTGTTGGCTGCCGACCCCTTTACTTCTTCTCCATAGGGATCTTTTGTGTAGCCTGTTGCTGCTGGTTCCGGCTGGGGGAGAGGGAAGAAAAAGGCACGCATACTGATGACATCATGAAAACATAAGTTGTCAATCGAGGCATAAATCCCCCTGAAGTAACTAAAAGGACCAGCTTGGCTCTTCATCAGCTCAGCAGCAGGTGTATTTCACGTGCTTTATAGTCTACGTATCTCCTTCACGAATAAAGTGGATCAAAAACAAGTACTTTTGTTACATGCATATATTAGACCTTGTGATAAATGATGAAAGTGGGCTTTTTGCACATACTTATATGACTGTAGTTCCATTTAAGCTACTTTCATTCCTTTATTTTGCAATTCACATTCATCCATTCACTGTGAGCCGGAGGTTTCCCGTTGAAATGGAACACTGTGTTACTTTAGACGAGTTTTTTTAGGCTTCCTTTACAACAAATCAGGCGGACGCGCCAGCGTACCCAGTGAATCGTAGGCGGGTGGGGAAGAAGAACTCATATGACCCGGCATAGTATCAGCATGGCTCCCAGAAGTAGATCACTGAGGTGACCCCCTCCATACAACACTAATTGCTAATCCTAGCAACGCCTGATCTGTTGTGAAGGCATGCCTTAATGTTGTTAACAGTATCAACCGTCACAGGCTGAATCTGAATTCTGTGGTCATGGCGTGGAATCCTTCTAAGAATTAATTCTCTTATTTTTTTACTTGTCAAACATTCTTTTAGAGCTTTTAACTGAGCTCCATTTTCACGTTTTTGTTTTACACACATTCTAAAATAATGAATGGTGTATCCATGTCTGAGCATTTCCCTCACCTTCTGTACATTCCACTTGTGGCTCCTCCCACATTCCACCTGGCATGCAGCGTACGACTGGCAGGTGGCGCTGCGTGTAGCCTGCGTCACACTGGTAGCGGACTATGGAGTCGACCGGGTAGTGCTCTCGGCCGCTGCCCATCGGCCGGCCGTGTTCCACGTCAGGGGGAGCCCCACAGGTGACTGAAAAAAAAACAAAAGCCGACAACATGTAGTGAGTTGAAGTTTTTTTTAGTCATCCAACTATCTCACATCTCGAGCTAACAACACGTACCCCTCAGCAAGCTTACCTGGTCCGGTCTTGCAGGTGAAGGAAAGGTGTTTGTCGCAGGGCATATCGCTCCACTGTCCGCCCTCGTGCCCGACCATCACCACGCAGTCCCCCTCGGAGTAGTTATCTGGCTGGTTGGGCCTCCAGATCTCAAATGTCTAAGGAAGGTAAAAGGACAAATCAATGAGTCTATAAAACAAGATGCAGCTGTGTGGATAGTTGTTCAGCAACCAAACTTACCAGAGGGCTGCCGTCTGTCCATTGGAACTCGTTCTGCACGTCTTTGTCATTGAGTCCAATCCATTGGAAGTCTCGGCCATTAGCTGCATTGCAAAGAAACATTTATTTAAGCTTCCAAACTATATGTAGAGTACATGTGTTATCTCATGCTGGGCTTACAACTTAAGCCTCTGAGGCTTGAGATAGACCGATACGTAGTGATCGCTGGAGCAATATGATAGAAAAGCAAAGCCGGCAACTATTAAAAAACGGCTACTAGTGTTTATGCACACAGCTACTCACAGTTGATGAACTGTTGCTCCTCCTGGGAGCCGATGCTAACCAGATGGGCATTGACCTCCTGACAGAGTTGTTCAGCCTCAGACCAGGTAGCTCGCCCGGCGAAGTCGAGGTAACAGCTGCCCATGAACTCCAACCAGCCCTCAGCACAGCGCTGCACAGCTGCACACAAAGACATACATGTCAAAACAACTCCAGGTATCCAGCGTTTTTGCCTTAGGAACAGTATTATATCCCTAGAATTACAGCAAAATATACACGTAAAGCACATACCATCCACCACTTCAGGCTGCTCCACTACAGCGGGGGTCACAAATGAAACTGACGGTGCTGTGGTTGGGCTGGTGTAAGCTGCGTCTGGAGTCACTACATACAGAGTAGGTCCTGCAAGGCTTTCCTGACTCTCCTCCCCGAGGCCTGGTTGGCCGAGATTGGCAATGACCTCGGTGTGAGTCATCAGCGATCCAGGCGGTAAGGTGACAGAAAGACTCTCGGCGGTTGGTTTTTCATCGTGGGCTCCGCTTCCCGAGAAAAGCAAGCTTTGTTCCAAAGCGCCACTGAACTCATGGTGGACCCCCGAACCGCTTCCTTCACCGCTGACCTCCACCACTCCACGGCCCTGCTCGGGGACGCGCACCGATGGCGGTAGGGTCACCGCCAACATCTCATTGTATGTTAGGAAGTTGACATCGTCACCACTGTGCAGAATAAAGTCTCCAGAGGCAGAGCCCGAGACCCCGGATGGAAAACCAGATGGATAACCACTTGGAAAGCCGCTGTGGAACCCGGATCCAGAAGGCCGATATCCAGACACCTCCTGTTCCCCAGACGGCTCTCCTGTCAGGTCAACGGCCCTGTGGTCGACAAATAAGATGCCAGAATATTCGCCAGAGCCCGATGCGGATATACCTCCAGATCCCGAGGTACTTGATTCCGAGAAAGACCCGCTGCTATCAACGCCTCCCTGGCCTAACTCCTGCTCAGTGAGTTTTTGGTGAGTTTTCGACACCTTGTTCATCTTCCTATGCACCATGATGATCACAGAGTCTCCGCCACTGCCACTGATGTCCCCACTTCCGCTGATAAAACCTGATCCGGATACACTGAAGCCGGAGTGTTGGGTGTCGACCCCCTCCCCGGATCCGGATGCACTACCCAGTTCTCCAGATGTGATGAGGAAAGCGCTTCCTCCTTCCGCCTCTTGTGGGCCTCCAGAGGCAGACTGATCCCCGGAGAAGACATCAGTGCTTCCGCTGAAGACGATGGTTTGTCCCGACCCGGAGGCGTCACCACTGGTACCAGAGGTGCTGGACTCACCAGAGCCCTCCCCGCTGGCTGAGTCATCAGCTGAACCGGAGCAGGACACTTCAACAGGGACCGGAGGTAAACGGTATGCCACTGCGGGAAATATCGAGAAGAATTAAGAGTGTGTTAGATTTAGCTTTATTTATTATCTTTGATCCGTGGCCTTTTCATTCACACATTTTTTTTCCATTTGTCTTACCAATTTGCACAGCTTCCTGAGGTTTGATGATTGTCCCGTTGTCAATATTAGTAATATTTACATTTTCACTGTCATGTCCAGTAGTTTCCACTAAAAACAAACATGATATCAATGATGAATATACACAGACCAAACAAGCAATTCAAGATTCACGCATTTTTTAAAGTTTAAAACTTCTAGATCAAATCAAGGTAAATAAAAGGTCCAAGAATCCAGATATTTCTCACCCGTTGGAGCAAAGTAATCAACTGTGACTTTTGTCTTGTTAATGAAATCCACTGTCACGATTGTCAGATTCACACCAGTTTCATTCGCAAATTGAACAACTGGAACTTCAGCTGGAAAAAAAAATCCAAAAGAAATGATCATGCCAGACAATTCTCCTGAATGCTACTCCATAGAAATGTTTTTCTTCCTACCTTTGAAACAGTAGGCGTCGTAGCGTGAGTGCTCATCAGGAAACCCTGTCTGGTTGGGGTAGGTGTAAATGATGTGGACCCCAACCTGACCGCCTCCACAGTGGGACCTGGGGGTTGTGATTGGGTAGCGGACGCTGCGGTCCATCAACCAGCCCGGACGGCACTTGTCAAGCCCCTGGTTCCAGGCCGCGAAGAGCTGCCCGGTGGTGGCCAGGGTGGTGTTGAGTTTCTGACAGTGCTGCACAGCTTCCTCGTAGGAGAAGCTGTCATAGTCACTGGTGAAAAAGACCTCACCTGCATTCAGGAAAGAAATCAGAGGAGCTCAAACATGGCAGACACAAATAGTTAGGTAGGTAGATGTGTGAGTGGGCTCCTCACCTCGCAGACGTTCCACATAACAAAACACATCGTAACGTTCGCTGGCTGGTCTCACTCCGTAGGATCGGACTCCTGGGAGGTGGGGCAGATTACCTGCACAGTTATCTCTAGGTGACACGATGGGATACCTGAGCATGGGAGAGGATAATGGGGGCAGTATTTTTAAGGCTTTGCTTTTTTGTGCTATCCCTCCAGGAATCAGAACATGGTTGTCTCATGCTACACAAGCTTTGAGTTTACCTCACGGTCTGGTCGCCCAGCCAGCCAGCATCACATTGGTGAAGGCCTTTCTCGAAGGCCGCCTGCAGCTGCAGGGAGCTGGCGATGACCGCTCCGATGCTCTGGCAGGCCTGCTGAGCCTCCATGAACGTCAGAGTGTACCGACCGGTGATGGATCGATAGTGGAACACCACACCTGGGAAATGTGAGCGGGAAAAAAACATATTAGAACGGAAGGTCAAAGTCAAAAAGTTTTATTTCATATTATTTCAAACATTTATCAATATCTTATCTGCTGTAATGTAGCCAATGACAATAATGACACAGTGATACTCCAACCCAATAAAGACAAAAATACACAATGCTAAAGTAAATATTCTCAATATAACATGGTTATTGGGACTGCTTTTCCAACCTGAATACAGCAATATTGTTTTTGGTAGGTAGGCAGTTATTGGAATGGCTCTATATTGCATAAATGTTGTAGACGGTTTTAATTTTTGTTGGCATCAATTTGCAGAGATGCTAAAGGGATTACTCTCGTTTTGTAATGAGGTGAAGGTTCATCATGCAAATTTTAATATTTCAAGATTTTAAATAAATAGTCCAAAATGGAAACCAACTTACCTGTGGGAGCCATGGCAGCATCTTGGTCTGTCACACTGGGAGGGATGGGCACTGGGGTGAAGGTGTCAATTTCTCCATGCTTGAATTCCTCTCTCCCAGGTGACAGGGTGACGCCCGGGTACTTCCGCGGTTCAGGTGTCATGCGGATGATGTCTGGGAAAGGCGTGGTGCTCTCATCCACGGTGACCTCGCCATCTGGGGAGACAAGATTTCATAATTCCATGACAAGATTGGTAGTTTAGGACTGAACCTAAAATAGAGTCATTTTGTCTGCTACCTCCGAAGCAGACAGCCTCGTAGCGAGAGTCAGGGTTGGGGTATCCCGTCTGGTTGGGGAACAGGTAGACGGTTCTCACTCCCAGGAGCCCCCCTCCACACTGAGGCCTGGCAATGTTGATGGGGTAGCGTACGCTCCTGTCCGCCAGCCAGCCAGCGTTACACACGTCCATGCCGGCCTTCCAGGCCAGGTAAAGCTCCCCGGTGGTAGCGAGACGGGCACCGAGTTTGGCACACTGATCTACTGCTTCATAGAAGCTAAACTTCTCTACTGACATGGAGTAGAAGACCCTGCCTAGGGGGAGAGGGGAGAGGGGAGGGGGATATAAAAACACGTTGACGTGACAATCGTCTTGACACACACTACAGAGGTTTCATTTCAGGTAGCTCATGTGGCTTATTTTGTTAGAGGAATTTACCTGACAGCTTCTCAGCAAAACAGTACACATCGTAGGTCTCGTTGACATCCCTCACACCGTAAGTTCTCACGCCGGGGAAGTCCTCCTTGTCTCCGAAGCAACGCTCCCGTGGCTCGTGAATGGGGTACCTTATGATTCAGAGAAACCTTGGTCGGCAGATGTACTTTGATGAAAACACATAAACAGCCCCAGTTATTTTACTCTATTATTTGTTGTTAATGTTATCCCTCTCGATGAAAGTGGAACATCCAGAATAAGCCAAATAAAGTCCACAAAGAGGTGAAGGGATTGGTGCTGGGAGTAGATCAGTGCAGAGTCAGTGAGTGGGGAACTCTACCTGACAGTCTGATCAGAAAGCCATCCAGCATCGCACTGGTGATATCCGTCGTCGTAGGCGGCTTGCAACTGGGCCGGGGTGGCGATGGTCGCACTGTTCTGGATGCAGGCTGCCTTCGCCTTCTCAAACGTCAGGGTGTAGCGGGTCGAGATGGCTCGGTAGTGGAACACGATGCCTGTAAGATACGGAGAGTGAGTTGACCACCAACATTTGAAACAAGTTCCATGTGTGAACAGACACTGCATGCGTTGAGTCGATAAGGACATTAATATTGTAGTGACGTATTGAATTGAAGAATGTTTCTGTGGCATACCCTGAACTTCGATGTGCACAGAGTCATAGCTGTCCTCAATGCCGTGCATCACCTCACAGCGGTAGATGCCAGAATCTTTGGACCTCAGCTCTGTTATCTCCAGGGTGGCGTCAGTGGACACAAGCGGGTAGTTGATCATCGTCACTCTGTCCAAATACTCCGCTTCCACTTTAATTTTCCCCCTAGACGCCACCAGGATGGTGGTGACTCTCTCCTTGGTTACATAGGTCCATTTGATGCGGTGGGAGAGTGGGGCGACGGTCGGGGCTCCGGGGTCATTGACAGTGTTTTCCTGGAAATAACAGGGCACCACCACCTTGCTGCCCAGCAGAGGACGGAGAGGCATCTCCACGGGGATGCTGACACGCAATGTGCCATCCAATTCTATAGTGATGGAACATCAAGTTATTGTCAAGTGAATTTGTCAAGTTGTCTTTGTCTGTTAGAAATGAGGATACAATCTCATGATGATGATACGTTTACAACCTGCTTCACAAACTAAGCAAAACACATTTTTTGTAGAACTATTTTTTAACCAAATGTACATATTTTTTTTCCATGAAATTTTTTAACCTGAATTTTTTTAACTTTTTAAACCAAATCTTTTTTGATTTTTTTTCGACCAAATATCTTTTTTACTTTTTCTTCCAAAACGTTCTTGACTAAATATATTTTGATACTTTTTCTTCATGACATTTATTGACCTAATATTTTTTTACATTTACATTTACATTTACATTTTTTACATTACTTGAATACATATCTTTTACATTTTTCGTCCAAATATTTTTAAACATTTTCTTCCATGACATATTCATATTTTTTATATTTTTTTTATATTTGTTGCCCCAATATTTTAAAAATATTTTTGTCTTCCCCCCCCATTTCTCTTTATGCCTACGGGTATGTATGTATGTGTATATATGTACGTGTGTGTATGTATGTGTGTACCCTGTCTGTGTTGAAAATGCAAAAATAAAGTGAAATATTTTTGTCCCACATATTTTTTGACCAAATTTGTTTTGACATTTTTTAACCAAATACTTTTAGAAATTTTTGCATCCATGACATTTAAAAAAAAAATGTAAACAAGCATTTTGGGGTTTCTCTCCCCCAATAAAGGTTTTACTCATTGCAGCAGTACTTTTCTCTTATTCGGCTTATAACGTTTTGGGGAAATATTGTATCTCTACAAATTTTTGGGAAAAAAGTTTGTAAATCATTAACATGTTTTATTAAGTAAAATAATTAGTTGGATAATGGATTTATAAAAAAGTAAATACTGAATAATAACGTTTCCAAAAGGTCTGAAGACACATGTTTAATTTGTATACTACGACTATAAAGATATGAATCCATCAAACAAAACCTCACTTACCGTCTTGGTTTTCAGGCTCAAACAATACTGCCGAGATGAGGGGCAAGGACACACACAGCAGAAGTAGGGGCGTCATGGTTACCTAAAACACACCCAAATAAACAACACAATCCGTGGATGTTAAGGTAAATTACAGAAAAGGACAGGCTGAACTCAAAGTGAAGTAAACTAACGTTATGAAAAGTTCTTTATCTGAGAGGCTGCCCTTAATGAACAGTGCAGCGAGTGTTGAAGGAACTAGTGGAATTTCAAAAATGATTTTCCCCCTGTACGCTTACATTAATAATTCGTGCTATTCAGGACTCTGCATTTGGTTATTACGTCAGCCGCGTCGGTTTAAATGGAAATCGTAAGTCAGGAGTGACTCATAGTTTGGAAATCCCATACCTGCTCGCTGACGGATGAAAGCCCCTTTGTCTCTCAACACAGGAAAGGTTTTTAGTGCTAAAATTAGGCTCAAAATTAGAATTTTTTTCTGTTTTCTCTGTTCTTTTTTTGTCTCTTTGTGTGCGTATGGAATATTTATACAATTTTCGCATGGATGAAAAAAAAAATCTTCAGTGTGGATCCAACCAAAATGAGATAATATTTATATCTTCTAATATCACAGGTTGAGTTCCTTCTTAGCGACGCTGGTGTCATTACTGGAGGGAAAGAAACATTTGGTCGGCACATCACTACTTCGATGCAATTTTATACCGGTAGTTAAGAGGTAGGGATGATGAATGCAACAGTCAAGGGATCATCTGACTTTTCCTTTATTGATCTTCTATCATGTATTTTGGTTGATGACCAGATTTCTGCAAAACAAGTGACATTCCCACAAACCTCAGCTGATTAGAACAGATGTGCTGAATTTAGAGGGTGAACATCACTCGTTCTGTACATCACTTTGTTGTCATTGCTGTTTGTAAAACAGAAAGTTTTCTGCCCATTTCACATAAAAGACAGTGAAGCATGCAAATTGGCAAACACACAAGCAAAAACATGATTTACTTCATACGATCAATGTTTAAAAACACCTGTGTTTGAGACAAAAGTCAAACTTGACCCTACTTTGGTTCACCAACTGGCAATCTCGGCCCCAAAACATCAGCTCTGCCATGGAAAAACCCACATTTCCAATGCTGTGACGTGACGTCCTGCGCGTCCAAAGAAACCCGTTGGGAGTCTGAACCCTCCTTGTGCTGCGTTGCTAGAACACGACCAGCTGATTTCAAACCAGCGCACGGTGGCTTTTACAACCAATAAACTGTTTCCAGAAGCTGACCTCAGGTCAACAGCCCGGTGAAAGACTTAAAGAGACTTTTAAAAAAAAGTTAATTTACATTCATTGTAGCACACTGTGAGTGAACAATGCATGAATATGTGTGTGTGTGTGTGTGTGTGTGGGCACTGCTAGAGCTCTCAGTTCCTCATATCCAGGACATACAGGAGCCTCCACTAGGACTAATTTGCCCTGCTGTCTAAGATCTGTCTAAGAGTGAATGTTTGCTCAGTTTGGGAGGAAACAGAAAATACCACATGCCATATGGAAACAGATCCCTGTGGAATGATCCCACACTGCTAAAGCTTTTCTTATCAGTCCGTGAAGTTCAGTCCGCTCTTCACCATGACGTGTTTCAACTCCACGACAACTTGCTGATTTGTGGCTTTTATTCCCGACTCTAACACATAACCTTCTTGGATTAGCCCCAATTTGCAACACTTTCCAAAACACAGGCTCTCATGAATTTGAAGACCTCACTCGGTCTGCACGTATTAGGGTCAGTACAAGACGCTTCTTCAGGTGACTATTTTAGACGAAATTTTGGCGAATTTTAGAAGAAACTGGTATCTTCTTTCATCCGTTGGAGCCACACAACGAGCCACACAATGTCATTCTCGGGTCCAGACAATTGAATCCGGCCCAAACCTCCACCCCCCTTCAAGAGGTGGATACAATGGACGCGACCCTTTGTTTCTCAGTATCCGCCTCTTTGGACACATCGTTTGAACCGCGGGCCACTTCACAACGCGCTCTGGCATCGGGGGGCGGGCAGCACCCGGGCGCAGGTCGGGCCGCTCGGCCCCCTCGCCATTCAGCGGCTGGGGGTGTGCTGCTTGCTCCCTCGTCCGCTCGCCGTGGTATGTTCCGCTCCCAGCTGAGGCGGAGGCCAGTAAGGCCTTGGTCTGTTCCAGCAACGGCCAGGGGCGGGGTCTTGGAGAGGGGGGGGGGGTGTAGGGTGCGACCCCGCCAAGGTAAACACAAGTATGGGCATCCAGGGGAGGCGCACTGCCCCCCCCCCTCCCCACTCCCAACCCTCCAGAGTCCCTCAGCAGAAGAACAGAGTTGACATTGATACGCACACAGAGACACAGAGCTACACTCATAGATCACCACGGGGATGTGAGGGCCGCGCACGTCAGATGCCTCCAAGAAAACGCATGGCAGTGTATGTCTGTGTGTGTGTGTGTGTGTGTGTGTGCGTGCGTACGTGCATCGCCATACAGACACGTACTGTAGGGCCTGAACACACACAGACTCTTGTACAGCCGGGTAGGTGGAGGGGTGGGGGGATATTCATATTCTCAGGTGCCTGTGGGTACATTAGGCCACGCCTTCACGCAGGGACACGCTTTCGTTAGTTTAAGGTGGCAAACGGGTACAAAAAGGTCGACTGACTCTGACGCCTGCGAACGTTCCGCTGGCTTTGACTGAACGTTTTGTCCACGGCTCGATTTCATTTCTCGAGATCTGAAAATGTTGATTCACGACGTTTACTCCAATTTCCCACATTGCAAGAATTAATATTGTTTTCCCCAATAATCAAACACAGTTTCACATGCATGGATTTAAACTCGAGAAGAACATTTTCCCCTCTTTCTCTTTGAGGTCCGGATCAAGTGGAAGTGACTTACAGTCACTGTTCGTTGATATAAAAATGTTTCCTTCACTTTTAGTGTGTTATTCCCTGTGAGGCCCCGCAGGCTTTGTAAAGACGATTGCAAGATGGAGATGAAGAAATACATATTCATGCTGTACACAATAGTATACCTTAATTCACACTGTGAACTAGTGAATAACTAGATTATTATTTGACCCTTTTAGGCCTTTGATAACGATCTAAAGTGTTCTCTTTAAATGAAGGAGCGTGTAGACATATAGCAGAGACAAGTCACAGGTACGCTCTTTACGCATTAAAGAGTCAAGGAGTCTTTGACTGCTGGCTGGCGGAGATGGACGTTGAGTAATTATGCTACAAGATATGAATTCACATACGCAACTCTCCATCCACCCAGAATGCAAATAACACACAGCACAACTAAAGAAACAAATCCATCAGTTCTGACTTTACAACAATCTGTTAGCTGTAAAGAAAAGCTGACTACCAGACCACCAGACTACCAGGGGGCAAAGTCCCCCCAGCCAAAAAATGGACTCAAAGGTACCCGTCTTAATTCATGACTAACTACCCAGCCACAGAAAAAGACACACATACTCAACCAGTATCCTGCCTCCCCCCCCCCCCCTCCCCAATCAGAGGATGCGGAGAATTTCCCCTAAAAACCTGTGACAATATTCCTCGACATGGACTCCAGCTGTGAGATGGAAACGTACCGTTGATGCTCCAAAGCTCCCGGGCCAGCAACTCCGAGGGTCTCTCACTCCTGCCTGAGTAGAAGAGCAGAAAGAAGCTTTATTCAAACTCCACCACGCATTAAGATGTTGGAAAGAGGGAGGGAGGGAGGGAGAGAGAGAGAGAGAGAGAGAGAGAGAGAGAGATCCTCTCCTGCCAGTTGGTGAGGTCATACAAACAGACTCGAATATCAAATCTGAAGCAGGTTCTCACTTCATCTGGAGAAATAAACGGATTGTTGGTCAAATCGAGAGATTTGATTCCTGTCAAGAATGAAGATGAAATGTTGAGAATAAATGTAAATTGTGAGATTATACTCCAACAGTAATATTCTATTAATGTATGATTGACATTCTGTGTTTGTACTTTAATTTAATTTTTAATAATAAAATCTTTATGGGCACTAATAAAAAAACTGTAACATTATTTGGACATTTTATTTTTCCTACTTCTCAAAATTAAAACTTAGTAAATATTATCCCTGTAGTTGTCAATGTTGTCTCTACTATGTAAATATCAGGATAGGTACTGATATATGTAAAAGTACTAATACTACGTTAAAAAAAGTAAAAGGTCTGCATTGAAGTAATGAAGTAATTGAACAATAAAATGTCAGTGTTTTCCTCATGCGTACGATGATCATTACTTTGATGTTGTAGGGATGCCCTTTCTTAACTGATCACTACACCTATTGGTTGTTTTATAATCAATGTTTTAGTTGGATTCATTTCCAAGAAACCTGTTAGCACGTCTCTGGTGAACATCATATTCAAAGTGGAACTTTGTGTGATACACAAATTCACAGATGTGTCAATCAAAAGTGAATGAATTTCTTTGGCTGAGGACAAGGTTTTGCTTATTGCTTTTACAGTTTAATAGAGTGTTAGGTAGTTTTATTTAGAGCGATACATAATATCCTGTAAGAACTAGTAGCTCTAAAAAGAAAAACTTTTTATGAGGCTACAGCTTTGTGATGTACTTTCCAGCTCTGAGGTTTTTTTTTATACAGAAGTAGGAGAGGGGGGGGAAGCCAGTTTAACCCCCCAGGTCTGTTTCTACAGTTAGAAAAGTAACTGTTGCTGTGGTTACTCACAGTTTACACTTGCTCTAGCCTGAAATGTAACAGAGCTTGAACTGTGACTCATTATATTTGTTTTAAATGTATCACATGTATGATAGGAAAACCCTTACGCTGCGTCCAGGAGTCTCATTCAGATATTGGTGTATTTCGTGGCAAAGTATTTGTGGGTGATGCTGAGCACTTTCTCACCTGCGTTGGCACGATGACAATGACATTCCGAGTTCATGTAGGAACAAACAATTTAAAAATTATATTCCATGGTGTTGAACTCATGCTCATACAAGACATTTCAATTTATACCTTCACTTCAGTAGCCCATTTCTAAATATCAATGCATATTTTAAATATTTATCCATGAATCTGTTCTTCCCTCGAACGTTGAAGCTGATAAAAAGGACAAGAGCATTACTTCACACTGCTGCATGTATCACAAGCTCTTGTAATGTCAGAGAATGTGAAATATGCGTTCGTGACTGTTTATCCTTAAAAAAAGAGTGCCTGTCTGTGTGCACGTGCGCCCCCGCTCCATCGTGCACACACACACACACACGCACACCGCGGTAACACTGCGCCGTGTGTTTGCCGCGGGGGTCTGTTTGCATTCGCGTGGAAGTCAAACATGCTAATGTTGGCCTGAGGTGGAGGAGATGCTCCCACCCAATTCTATTCAGAGGTGCAGCTACCGCACTCTTCAAAGGCCTGAAGCATCAGCCGCTCATTTGCTGAGATTTTGTGTTTGAAATAGAAACGTGGGGTTTGCTCACCATCATTCACGTCAGTCAGCTGTTGCCCGGTGCCACACGGGGAGTCCGGGGACAAGAACATTTTTATACCGCGCCACCTCCATACTCATGTTTCATAGGTGTCCATTCATTCAGTCGTGTGGCCTCTTTAACCACGTGTTTCTAAAGTCGGCAGCAGCGTTTCCCGGCCTGCAGGTTTCGGGGATTGTGAAGCGAAAGCACCTTAAAGCACCTCGATGGTGACTTTCCAAAATGGTGTTCGTTAAAAACTCCACTGTGGAAACTGTTCTTTTGCTTGTGGAAAAATCACCCTGATGACCACGAAGCACCTCGCTCACTTCTCTCACACACTGAGTCATCAGGTGAGATCACAGGAATTACATTAGGACTTAGACGTTGACCCAGATTAACTAAACACGCAAAAAGTGACTCAGATTTCACCTTCTTAGATCTGAACTACCTGCTTTTTCCTTTGTTTGACTATTTGATAGTAGTAGTTCTGTCTGCCGCTCAGCTCGTCTCAGAGTCTGAGGACGACATAAGATGAAGATTGGTCAAATTGTTTGGTAAATGCTGTACTAGGACATATTGTGTGCTCATTGATATGGATGAGGTATATTGAGGCGAGACAGAAGTTTCCAGTTTACTGTCTTTTGTCTGATTTTCTTTTACTTCGGTCTAAATGTGGTTTCTTTTCCTCCTCCAGCTTTAATTTTTTCTCAGGTTTTATTCGACACCACTGTCACTGTTTACTTCATAAAAGTGTGAAGCACTGAACAACTCTGTCTGTGTCAGCAGGAGAAACACCTCCAGTATGTTTTAGTCTCACTGGCCTGGAATCACAGCGAGGTTGTTAAACGTGTTGAGTGTAAACGTGCTTTACGTTGAGGCCCACAATGAGTCTCTACAAACCGACCTGTAATCTGTTTCCACAGGCGAGGTTGTAAAATAAACGTGCGTAGGCTCGTTGAGCGGATCCATAGAATAGCACTTGACTGTGATATTCTGTTGCTCCTGTGAATGACCCTTTTGTTCTCAGACATTTTTTTCATGATTCAAATTTTCCTCTGAGTCCCTTTTGGCTAAAATTGTTCCTTTTGTATTGAAATACTTTCTCTGTGTGTGTGTCTTTGATGCGACGCGCCCAAACCCATTATTCACAGTGACTCCTTTCAGCTCATTTGCAGTCGTAACGAGAGCAAACTTGACTTACAAGAGAGCAGAGTCCACCTGAAAGAACCTCTCAGAGTGGACGTAGAAAGGGGTCAACACAGAGACGCTTGTGTTTCCTCTCTGCTCGGCCTCCGACGTTCCAAACGCGGGCCGCCGCAACGCCGGAGTATCGCTGACACAGGTAGTCGGCTGAGATCCACCGGTACCAGACCAGGCTTTTCCTTCGGGGTGACGAAGTTCAAGCTCAGGAGAAAGTGCTGAGGCGTCTTTTTTGGTAGATTGGTTTGTGTGCTTTCTGTTCACACAGGCAAACACACACACACACACACACACACTCACACACACACATGGGAGAAATACACACTTGCCTGGATGGTATGCATGCATGAACATTTGGTCATGACAAAATCGTTGTTTGTCTTGATCATGGGTCATCCTTGCTTAAAAAAGTGTCTCATAATACCCCCATATGGTTGTCTTCTGCATCTGTTATGTTTTTCCTTCTGATCTATTTGTCACATCTATTAATGTTAAAACCAAGCTCAAAATACATTTCTGTGATTACTCACTTTGTTTGGCTGAAACATTTTGTAACAATATAATAACATTTGTTTGAGTGAAACCTGCTGTTTCTTTTCATGACCAATAGAGAGCATCAACTCCTTCAACAGACGAGGCATTGATGAGGCATCCTACCTGTGGTGAATGGTCATACATCATGCATCACATGTCCTGCAGTCTTTGCAGTACATATGTAAGATTGTTTACTTGCTTATTTTATTTTTTACAAAGGATGGCCGGTGGACAAGTTGCCCATATGAAGGTTGCTCGACCATGTTTGTGCGTTTGTGTGTGTGTCTGTGTGTGTCCCTGTCATAAGGCCTTCTTTCAACCAATCCTGGCCAGCCATCTCGTCCTGATATCCATTAATGAAAAAGAGCAGAGTGTGTGTGTGTGTGTGTGTGTGTGTGTGTGTGTTGACACAGCCTCTGGCAGTCTATCGAGTTGGGCAGCATTTCTTTGCCTCACAGCGTCTCTATAGAGGTGAATAGGCACTTTATGGCTGTCAGGTTTCGCTCACTATACATGAAAGTGTGTACGTGCGAGCCACACTGATCACTCATAGCTTCTTATCATCCTTTTTGGTAAAGATGGAAACTAATATATTTATTATTTTATTGAGCATGCCCTTTTTATTGTTTTACCCAACTGTTGCTGTGGTAACGCAGGTGGATCTGAAAAAAATAATATTCATTAATATTCCTGCAATTCATTCCTTTTGCAAACCAGGTGCCTCTGAAGTGACACTGAGGGGATTATAATTTTTTGGTGAAATAAGATCACCGACTTAAAGCTCTCAGATTTCAGGAGGTAACATTTACATTACATTACATGTCATTTAGCGAACGCTTTTATCCAAAGCAACTTACATCGCATTTTTAACAGCAGGTTTTTTTTTACATTTTGCCCGGGGAGCAGTGAGGGTTTGGGACAGAAAGCCGGGTTTCGAACAGCCAACCTACCTGTTCCCGGCTTAGCAGCTGCACAGCAAGCAACTCATGTAAATTGTTTGGTAAAGAAAAGTCCTACTTAACTACTGGATTAAGGCATGTATCTAACACCCTGTCCACACTACAATGACCTTAAATGCATGCTGTTGTATATGCATGTTCATCAATAAAATGTCCCTTTTTACACAACTGCAGAGCACAATCCTGCATCCCTGTCATTAAAGACGCTTATGTGTTCATGCAAATTTGACAGCTGAGATCCTTATAGGTCGAATGTCACAGCGCTGCATACCCTAAATGGACCTTCACGCCTCCGTTTCCTCTTCGCGGTGAGCTGAATGTGACTCCAGGCGGACAAAGACGCGTTTGTCAGAATGCAAGATGGCTATTAATGATAGTGCTCCTATTGAACCATGGAAGACAAGGTGCTTCAGAGAGCATACCGATTTTTTTAAAAATGCATTACATAATTCAAGATGTTTTTGGATGCTGGTGAGGTGGTGAGGGAGAGAAGATGAGGGGAGGGAGGGAGGGAGAGGTGGTTACTGTTTTTTTTAATATGAACAC